ACTTGAGGACCTAAGGGTACCCCTATAATATAGGACTTGAGGACCCACGGGTACCCCCATAATATAGGACTTGAGGACCTAAGGGTATCTCTATAATATAGGACTTGAGGACCTAAGGGTATCTCTATAATATAGGACTTGAAGACCTAAGAGTACCCCCATAATATAGGACTTGAGGACCCAGGGTACCCCTATAATATAGGACTTGAGGACCTAAGGGTACCCCTATAATATAGGACTTGAGGACCCAAGGGTACCCCCATCATATAGGACTTGAGGACCTAAGGGTACCCCTATAGTATAGGACTTGAGGACCTAAGGGTACCCCCATAATATAGGACATGAGGACCCAAGGGTACCCCCATAGTATAGGACTTGAGGACCTAAGAGTGCCCCCATAATATAGGACTTGAGGGCCCAGAGGTACCCCCATAATATAGGAGTTGAGAACCCAAGGGTACCCCTATAGGATCTCAAAATTTGGGAAAGACAACCTTTGCGTGATGATGGAAGTGAGTTGGAGTTACCCGTTACCGTTACCAAGTAACGCAGAGTTACCGTTACCCGGTAACTGGTAACGCAAAAGTTACTAGTTACCAAGTAACTAGTAACGCAAAAGTTACTAGTTACCAAGTAACTGGTAACGCAAAAGTTACTAGTTACCAAGTAACTAGTAACGCAAAAGTTACTAGTTACCAGGTAACTAGTAACGGAAAAGTTACTAGTTACCTGGTAACGTAACGCATCGGTAACGGTAACTTCCCTCCCCTACTTTGAGATTCCTGGCTGTTAAATAACTGTAATGATGATATATTCTTTAAATCACCAAGACGTGTTTTAACTAACACCAATTTAAGTCTAAAATTCAACTTTTTATTTTTATTTTAATATAAAAATAATTTACTCAATTTCTCCTTTTTTAAAATGTTCTTCAGTTAAACGAATAAAAATTGGATTCTCATCCAAAACTGTAATATCTATATTATCAAGTTGAAATTTGTTCACGTGTATATAATGTTGTCCAACTCGAGGTACTGTTAAAAGTGCCACTTCAAGATAATAATTATCAAGCTTTTCGGGAGTTTTAAAACCACGTGGAAACTAAAATTATACGAAGACGAAAACTTTAATCTTTTTTTATATACATATATATATATACATACTTTGATAATAATACTTTTACTGCCATCAACATCATGAATATAATGAGGTGGTTGTGGTTTATTCGCATTCTTACCTCCACGAGGAAAATAATCAGTTTTATATTGAATATCAAATGGTGATTTTAAGCCTTTTGATAAACTCAGTTGTTGATTGAACAAACTTCCAACTTCATCATAATATTGACCTAAACATAAAAATAAACAAATATGAAAAATATTGTAAAAAGAAATATATAAATAAACATACTTCCATCAGATGTATTACAAACAACCGAGTTACAAGATGAATCTATTACATGCGGAAGATAATACGAATGTTGACAATAATATTATGCCTACTTTGATTTGGAATTTCTGGAAGAGTAGCACCATAATTTGTCAATGTTTGTTGTTTGTTGACAGTATTATTAGCTTCCTGAATAATTTTCTGATGGACTTTAATATAATCGGTATTTATTAGAAAATCCGTCCTA